CCAAGGATTGCCCGAGCGTTGAAGTACAAATGCCTCCTTCAGAATCCAAATTCATACAGATATTACAGCAAACCTCATCCACAAATGTTCTGGGCTTTTTATTACTATTTATTTGTAAGACTGCTTCTCCTTGTGGTCACGTAGCCACCATGAGACAGGAGAAGCTGTGTCAGTTCTTCAGTCTTGAACTCAAGTTGCTTCAGAAGGGACTGCGCTGAGCCTTATCTTTGACAATAACAAAGATGCAAAACCAGATTTGTGCTACCCTCACCCCATTTTCATTAAGCCTGCTCCTGTGTTCCAACAACTCTTTCAGTGCTGTGGCAGAAGGAAAACAAGTTATATTATCTTTAACTAGCAGATACATATCACAAGTGTTCAGATAGCTGCTAAGGGTGCTTTTGTGACCATGCACCACTGCTGAAGCTGAGCATCAGCCACGCATTCTTTTCAGCACCACAACTTTCCTGTTCTACTAAACCCCGGTATTTCTCAGACCTGGCTCTTTGCCCATTTTAATTTCATACATTGCACAAGCCTCAAAGTCTGAGTTCATTATGAAAACAACTTCCCTCACATCAGTACTAACATCGGCATTGCTAATAGCTGTGTTTTTTCCTCCCCTTGGACTCTCAGACTTCTTAGGCTGGAAAAGATAGTGTACTTGTCCAGAAGGGGGTTCTTAATTCTAAATTAATGCTATCATTTCCAAGGCCCAACTACAGAAAGAGGAGATGATGGCATGTGAATGTACACCTCACTGCTGTAGATGCACTTCTTGGACAAACCAGGAGCCTCTTAGGTATATCCAGCCTGGAGGTGGATGCTCAACTGAGGAACCACAGTGCTCAGCAGTCCTCCCATACTGCTGAGACCGCTTAGCTCCTCAGATGCATGACAGCTCCTCATTCAAAAGACAGTTTTACTTGTTCCCCACTACAAATGTCCTCCTCCACTGAACTTAATACTCTTTGCTATTCAGCAGACCACTTACAACAATGCATGGCAACTAATTTTGAAGTCCCTTCTCCCCTGTTAAGACAGCAGTGTGGGTTGTGATCATTCATTCAACCCTCAAGTGGACCTTGTTGCACTTTACCCATTTAAGATTGCCGGAGGGATCAACCTAAGCTCCATCTGCCTTGGCCAGCTTTGGAATCAAGCATATGAGGAACCATAGCATAGAGACACAGCACAACTAACTCCACCTGTGCAAAACTTGGCTCAGGTCCATAAACTTCACGGAACCAACACCCACTCTGACAGTACACTGTCCTTCTCCACATGGTGGAGTTTCTCAGTGGCATAGTTCTTCCTCCAGCTCACAAATCTCAGCATTGCTTGCTGCTGTTTCATAGCAAGACCAATGTGGCTCTTCTCAGAGCTTCATTATGATCAAATCCTGCTCCTCTCCCAAGAAGTCCACTTCTGCCACCTGAGGCTTTTTGGTTTTAACCACAGACTCCATCAGTGATTCCACAGGGAAAGAACCCCCACACCAACACCCAGGTGTGAAAGCCGTGACGAATCCATGCTGAATAAGCCCCACATGAATCTCACCATTTTATGCACACCTTTATCTCAGCTTCACTTTGTGAATTCCACAGATCAACTCTTCAAGAACATGCAGTACAAACAGAAGAGACAGGACTTCTGAAGTGTTTCCAAATTCAATACGCATTAGTGTTATTTAAAATAATTCATGCATCTAGACAATTTTTAAGTGTGCCCGTCCAATTGTTTGGTATCTCTGAAGACTTTAAGACACTACCCTCTTAAGACACTGAACAGGTCACCCAGGGAGATTGTGGATGCCTTAACCCTGGCAGTGTTCAAGGCCAGGATGGATGGAGCCTTGAGCAATCTGGCCTAGTGGAGGTGTCCCTGCCCAAGGCAGGTGTGGGACGAGATGATCTCTAAAGTCCATTCCAGACCCTTAACATACTATAATACTATGAAAAGTTCTGAGCATGCAGCAGACAACCCCAAGAGGTCTACAACTCCATTTTACTTCAAAATGAAAACACAAGTAAGTAGGACTTTAAAAGCAAAGTAAGTTTTAAAATTAAACTGAATTTTCAGCCTCAGGTACACATTGCTCATAAGCCAAATCAATTCATGAGACATACATTTTTTTATGATACCTTACTACAGCCTTAGACAAGCAGACAGAGCAAAAATTCTGCTGTTAACAGAAAAATCAAGAGTGATGGAAGCTTTGTTTCAACTTCTCCTGCTGGGAAGACAGTAAGGGCTGAAGCACCTATGCCCATTGACATTTTGGATCCTATTCCAAAAGGAACAGGACAAGCAACTGCACTTTATCAATTCCATTCTGACTAGATCTTCTATACAAGGGAAAAGGATCAAGAGCATTGAGGTCTGACATCTTTACATATCCACTATCATTCATTTTTCTTCTGACAACTAACTAGATTTAATCCTGATTACAGTTAATGAAAAAACAGCTAATGCAACTTCAAAGGCTGTTCTCAGCTTTGAAGCCTTGATTCTAGTTCAAGTAGTTGTGACAATCTGTGGCTAGAAACTTGCTGCACACACTGCGCTTTCTCAAGAGGAGAAACAGCAACTTCATGTAAATTTTTACCCAAGCGATGGAAAAAAGGACCAGCATGACTGAAGGTTATCTTTAGATAGCCTCATTTAATACAGTTTATGATGGTTATTCACTAGCCAAGCTTAAGTGGTCAGGAAAAGACAATTCATTAATATTTTCTTAACAGTGATAAACTTTCACATCAGTTGCAATTTAATTCCCTGAGCAGGTCCTTCTAGAAGCAGTTTCTAATACAGCTGGCATGTTACTTGCTATTTTGGTAAACCTTCTAAGAAACACAGTATCTCACTGATGCTTCAGAGCTTGCATTGAAGCTTCAGCGTCCCCAAAATTAGGTTATAGTCAAACTTGTTTTGGTAAAAAGGAACACAGCTTCATACTCTAGTAAAACACCATGTGGGTGGAGTATAGTGAAATCCTGTATTTCACAATATTTTAACTCAAACCCCAGCTGCAGTAAAATTTCACTTTGCAATGCTAAAAAAAGCTGTAACCACAACAGAATGTGACAAGTTTGAAGGCTAAAACTAAACACAGCTCACTGTGCCAACAATTCAGAGCTGCAGATGATTATCAAGCCCTCAAACTTCACACCCTCCCAATTCAACATGAAAAGTCAATTTGGACACACAAAAGTTTAGTGAAATATAGTAGTCATGACTTCAAGCTTTAACTGTGTTAAGTAGTTTAAAGCTATTATTCCTAAACAATCTTAGCTGACTACTTTGATAGTACTCAAGGACCTTTTAAAGCAGATACCCATACTTAATGTATTTAAATCAGGCCCCTCAGCCAACAGCCTAGGCCCTCTACCAGAGAACAATTCAGAGCTCCAAATTCAGACTCCACCTCTCCCTGCTGATTTCACAGGGAGTCTGAAATTACATTATTTATGCTGCTTGTCTGCAATTGGTCTCAAGGAGGTCAAGTTCTGATTAAGCATTATGTCCTGAATAAGAACAAGGAAACAACACAGCTCTCACCATGTTCTAGATCTGTACAGCATCACCTGGAAGTCCAAGGACTACATGCAAGATGCTAAAGATGCAGAGAATTCTGTTGCAGTGATCTTACCACCTAGACAGGAAACATACGCAAAAAGGGGCAAATATGCGGAGATGATGCCACTTGACTATCACAATTTAAAGTTGCAAGAATCCAGGCATTTGACATTGTTCTCAAAGCCTCAGCTCTGAAACAACTTCTTTGGACGGCAAAGGGGTCTGACAGGTCAGCTCAGTGCCTCCAAGCTGCCAAAAGGCAACTTACAACAAATTTTTAGGTTTGGATGTTTACAGCATACCTGATTTTTGAATACTTGGCTTTGGCAATACTATGAAAATCAAGCTCAGGCAGGGCTAGTGACAAGAGAGATATCAGAATCCAGGCTCATGGAAATCCAGTTCAAACTTAAGGCAAGTTACATACAGAGTTTTTCCAGCTTCACAATACAGATAAGCAGTTGGCTACTCATACTTTACTAAAAGCATCTTCGCTTCAGCAGTCCTGTTTGTTATGCATTTTATTTTACAAAACAGCCTCATTAAAAAAAAATCACTTTTCATCTGTACTTTGGACATGAGTACTTCGGTGGAAGAGGGATGAAGTCACATTCCATATGCACCACAGGCATTCCACATTAAGATGTGTGAGTGGGCACTGGTCAGATTTTGAAGAAGAGCAGAACAGCAGTGGGTAAATCAGAAAGACACAGGATTAAGAAACAGGAGTAGGTTGAAGTTACTCTGCCAAAGACATTTAAATGAAATACAGGCAAGTAAACATTTCAAATGCAGGTAAGTTCCCTTGTGCTGCTAAGCTGTGGCTGAAACAGCATTGGCACAAGAAAATATTTTAGTGGCACTAACAGAAGTAAAAACACTGACTTCCACAAGGACTGAGATAGTCTTGAATGCTGGCAGCACCACAGGTCCACAGGTAACATCTACAGGGTCCGTGTATACTACATGAAAGTGCACATCAAAAGAAAGGGTACTGTCAAGGCAAAGCAAGTAATATCACCATAACTGAAAGAGCACATTCAGAAATCCACAGTAAGGAGACCACAGAATTAGGTTGCCCAACTGATTCAAGTTGCAACCTGCTTACAGACGTGAATCTGACCCAGACAAGTTGCTCTTATCTGTTTCACAAGTGAAAGTAAACATCTGAGCTAGTAGGAGGCAATTGTGGTAGGAAAAAATGGTTGCTTTAATTAAGTCTATCAAGAGTAGAAGTCTGTACCACTAAACACACACTTCCAAAATCCCCGAAACCAAGATGTATGAGAAGTGATAT